ATGCTTGGCCTATGACAACACTTCAGTTTTCATACCAAAAAAATCACTAGACTGTGAAAGATCATTCTGCCTGGCTTTGCGGGTAGTCTCTGTTTTTTCATGCCTCTCCTGTCTCGCATCTTCAGTCATGTGCATGGTCATTTGTGTGTCTCGCACATTTTGGTTGATGGACCAAGAAAAAAAAAAGAGGGCTTGTTTTGACATATTTTTTTTATTCCAGTTATAAGCACCCCCCACCCTTCCCTCACCTCCCAAATATACGCCCCTTCATTTAAAAGCCCTCCTAAAACCCCTTACGAAGTTGTATAAGCCCTAGGCTTATAATCGGAAGTTTACAGTATATAAAATAATTAATTAAAATATTAATAAAGGCACCAACCTTAGCTATTTTGATGATCTCTGGAATATTCAAATAAGCTGCTACAGGAGGCATTCCTTTGCCTATAAGATAAGCTTCATCAGCCTTCTGTCTGTGCATAAGATTGGCATCTTGTTCAGAATAAATAGCAACAGTCTCAATTCCTGCTTCTGCAGCAGCTCGGAAAACCCTGATAGCAATTTCACCACGATTTGCTACAAGAAGTTTTTTTATCTCACTCCTTTGAGGCTCGGGCTTTTCACTTGCGCAGTATTTCTGCCCAGCATGGATGTATCTACATGTTGCCCATATTCCACTGCTTGAAGTGAACTGCTGTTGAAGGATTCTCTTGAAACGTGAGGCATGAACTCGTAACATTTTTACTTTGGATACTTCACTTTTACAGCCACTCAGTAACTAGGAACAGAATAGCCTGGAATAGAAATAGCAACAAACAATATTACAGAAAAGACCTTCTGGATTATCAACAAAGGATTCTGTTATCATTTATGACTGTGTGACATTGCTCATTCCATTGCATCTCAAATTATTTCATGTATATCACACATACCATAAAAAATCCATAATATTCAACTCGATTAAAAACATGTAAAAGCTGGAAGCATCATGCAGAGCCTCTGAATCTCAAGATCTAATGTTGCCTTGATCGATGATGAAAGAAAGAGTTCTATATCAATCTACATGTAGTCAAGCAAACTTGCATTTATAAATACATGTATGTAGAGTATATAACCAGACCTTTTATGCCACATAAATGTGGCATCCCATAAATTCTGCATATTAAATGTCCAAATATTTGCCACATGCATGTTGTTACAAGATCTTTTACAGTACGTGGTTATTTACATGACAGTAAAATAATACCTCAGCCTACAATTAATTTGGAACCTCACAGATGCTGGAAACAGCCAGAAAAATGTCATTGATGTAAAAGTTCAAAACAAACCTTGCAAACAAGATCTGAGCTAGAAAAACCCAATACCTTGAACAATGCACTTTCAAAAAAAATCTTTCTGCACAATAATTCAGCTCATTATAAAGAAAGAGGAACAACATAAAAATATGAACAGCACATGCTGGTCACAAGACTTGAACACATCTTATCTGTATGAACTCACTGCATTTAAATTCCTGTTTATTTGGCTTAAAGGAAACAACCCGATCAGAACTTGTTTGTCACAGAATAACTTAGCATTTTAATGTGACAGAAAGCATGACTACTTTAGGGTCATGCCAACATACATGAATATAGTTAATCATGTTGTCACTATTTTGAGTGGTGTGATGGCCAGTTGAGCCCTAGAATTTAGTTCATTGTTCTGTGTTTTGTCTTTTTTGTGTGCATAAAATTTAGTCCAGCACTTATTTTATTGCTTATACATAAATAATCCTTTAAGGAAAATCTAACTTCAATCATTTTTTTAGAACTATGACAATATGTTTAAATGTTTGTTTCTATTTTTTATGAGACCTGCTACTTGTACATGGTACACTGTGATGCGCCGATCAATACGAAAAATTCAATATCCCCCCCCCCCCCCAACCCCCAACAAACCCAAACTTCCCCACGTGAGCTACAGTAATTACAGTCCCTCTATTATTCTTGCCTCCTACTAAACCGCCGTCCGCCACCCAAGCAGATTTACTACTCATTGCATCCAACATGGGCACCCGTAATGCAAAGTGCTCAATTGCAATGATCTTACTGAAAAATAGACGAAAAATAGAAACCTGTGAACAGTCTAGTCAGCAACCTTCTCCTCCCACCCCTGACTCTAACAAAAACATTAGTTACACTGCCTCCCCCCCAGGATTTCCCAAGGCTCAGCGGGGAACACCCGATTTGCGAGAGCTGGAGACAAGCGAGAAGCACGAGAGAGTTGATGATGGGAGGACTGAGCATGGAGCGCGAGCGGGGAGTGCTTGTTCTCCCCTTCCCATCACTCCCTCCATCCCCGCTTTCCTTAATAATTAACCCTTTAAGTCCCAATAGTGACCAACAGCAATTTTCTCCTAACAATATCCATACATTGTCAAGAGATAAGGTTGTAAGAATATAAAAAATGATCACAAAAGAGAAAATGCCTTGATGTTTTATTAAATTCTCTCAACTTATTCTTAAAGGAAATGTATGGAGATCAGATTGGAGAATTTGTATGTGGATACTGGGGCTTAAAGGGTTAACTCAATTATCCCCCAAAAAGTGATTGCGAGCAACTGGGGACGAGGAGGTTAGTTGCAAGCATTGTTTAAATTACATGTATCTATATTTACTCATAGGTGCATTTAAACTGCCATTAATTAATATAAGAGTGCAGTTACTTATTTCTTGTGCCTGTGGATTTTTTTTTGCTTTTTGACCCAGGGAGGTGAGAAATAGAGAACTTAATTGTTCAGTGCAAAGATTTTAATTTTAAATGCTGTAATGAACTTGGTCTCCTGATGATTTATTATCTGAATTGTTTATCATTTTAATTTCAATTTACTGTGTCAGTATTTTTTAAAAGCAAATTTCTTACAACTTTTGAAAGAGTTGCATGAATAAATCATGATTTCCTTTTTGCTAGCAATAATATTCTTACCTCATGAAGGATTTTTGTCAGTGTTTCGAAAGAAAAACAGAACTTCGCAGAATCGAAAGAAATAGAATGTTAAAATGAAAATAACAATTATTGACCTCTAAATTTACCGCTTCTGTCAAGAAAGTAGAATTTTTCCTCCCTAAGATAAACTAAGCATATGTTAATATTGGTGGGGTTTAATTTTCAATGAACTCCAGTTTGACACGAACACAAACAGATGAAGTCACAAATATCATAGAAAGTTACGATGCACTTTAAGTCAAAATAAAAAATCCAATTATCTTTGCCACGAGTGAGTTTTACGAGCACACGTAACAAAAAACATTTGAATACAATTGAACGTATAAAATTATCATTTTCAATCATTTGATTCAATGATTCAACCATGACAAAAAGTAAGATTAACTTCACTCAGGCAGTACGTCATTTACCTGATAAAACTGCGACCATTCCCTGCAGAAATAAAAGCACAACAGTTTCAAAAAGCTTCCATCACTGAGAAAAATCGTTCGCCTTTTCACGCACGACGCCAAGCGTTTACATAATCGTAAAAGTTCAAAGGACAACACATGGAGCAAGACATGAGAACACGCACGAACCCGAAAAAGAATTTGGGGAACATGCGACACAGAATGAAAGACCAAACAAGAGAAAATATCACTGTACCTTTACAAGGTGACGTTCCCAAACGTGAGATGGCGAGAGATTTGAGTAGACATCAACAAGCTCGAGCAGAAAAAACAACTACTTGCGCCCGCATTCATGTGAGAACCCGTAATGGACCGTCATTTCACAGTGACCCACCTGCAGGGGTCCACTCAAATTATTGACAAAGTCACACACCCCTGGTCACACAACAACAATTTTTCTTTTTTTCTTTTTTGAAGTGAGGTTTCTACACACAGATCCGCATAGATTTGTCTTGCTGATTTCACTGTTTCACCAGATGAATGGCATGCAGTGAATGTTTACGCCTTCTCCTTTGCCTTGAGCTATAGATTTTTTGTTAAAAAAATTCTTTTCAAAGCGTTCCACCTTGGGCCCCAGGATCAGATGTTACCCCGAGAAGTGGGGGAGGGGGGTTCACCTGTGAATCTTGGTGGGGGTGTGCCGCTCGGTTCTCCAGATCAGACCAAAAAATGTCATTTTCCACACCCTTAGGCATCTTCAGACCAGACGTCTAAACTCCATACCTGTTCCCAGACCTGGTCTTCAGGCAGAAATTATGTCATGATTTTTAGAGCGCAAACAAAAAAATCTTAAAATGCATTTAGAATTTACATGTTTCTATTTCGTTCTTATTCATCTGGAATTCAAACGATATCTACATTCATACACTCCCATAGTTCCCACGAAAACCATACCCGATTCCAGACCAACGGGGCAAAGTGTATACCCGTTTTCAGGCAAAAAGGCTCAAAACCTGAGCCTTTGGGGCGGCACATACCTATATGGCTTATTTAAGAGAGTATCCACCCGGGGATGTTACTCCTATGAAAGACTAGAGGGCTCATCTAAGTCTCGTTTACTGCTTTGTTTTCCGGAGGAGAAACATTTAAAGATGATGAGTCTATGGCTCCGTTCCATACAAAGTGGGCTCGACGTCTACCGTACTCTTGAGCGTGAATGATGAAGGTAGAAGAAAATTCAGGCTGTTCCAGAAAAAAAATTAATTCGAAATGGTATTTCGGGGAAGGAGATCATGATGGGTTCCTGGTAATTTTTATGCCCTGTTCTAGAGATGTAGCCCATATATATTGAGAAACTCTCCCCGACCCATTTTTTTTGAACGAGCTTCCTGAAAAAGGCGAGGGCTCTCTCCTCGGATCTAGCCTCCAACGTAGAGGTTACTAGGAAGGCTTCGACACGCGTTGACAGGATTGCGTGACCAGCCAAAAAAAGTTCCAAGAGGGCTCAGGAGAGGGCTCTTTTTCTGTTCGCGCTACGCTCTCTTCTTTGGAGCCTCTGCTCGCAGGATACCCACGCCTCAGCAAACGAGTCCGCTGCTGGTGTCCTGTGCCCAGGCCCCGGCTCTTGGAGCAATAATCAAAATGGCGGCACTCTCAGCTGGATGAATTGCTTTGAAAGTGATTTGATAATAATTCCTCAAACCCCGTCTCTATCGGAAAAGTCAAACGGATATTTAACAGATAACGACCATTCTCTATGACTGACGACTCCAAATTTGCGATAGTTTCTCCGAAATCGGTTAAATTATACGCTGAGATTGTTGGCGCGCAAGGTTTGACAGATGACCTTGCGAGTTCTCTTGCGGAAGATGTGACCTACAGACTTCGCGAGACCCTTCAGGTAAGTCTGATCACCACAGAATTTCTTTGTTGAGTTTATATTAAGTAATCATCTCGTAACCTGTAACAAACCCACAGAGTGCATCTCAGTATATGAAGCATGCCAAGAGAAGACGGCTCACATGCGAAGATTTCAACAAAGCATTAGAAAGGAGCAGTACTGAGGTGACAAATTAAACCTGTGTTGTTATTGTACTCATGAATATTATTAAGGGAAGCATGCCAAATTTAAGGCCTTCACAAGTCCTCGACAATTTCGTTGTTGGGTTTTTGAAGAAACTCCAAACTCCGCGACCGAAAATTTTTCCTGACATGGAGTTACCCCCTGCAAAAATTAGCCTCAGAAATAGAATTATTTAATTATTACCCACCCTTCATGGGCAATGGTACTATATTTTCACCCTCAGAAATTGACGTTTAGAATTTACAATGATCCTCTCTCCTGACCCTCTCAGTAAAATTCACAGACTTAATGATCCCTTCAGGAAATCTAGCTAATCTATGATGGGAGGGTTGGAAGAGGGGTGGTGGATATAAAATGGAATGGCCTTAGGGGGTGTAGATAAAATAGAAGTTTGCTTTGATAATTAATGCAGACTCAGCATACTCTCTGATAAACCTGAATGATAAACTATTGATCCCTCAATCATGATTGCTATTTATACCAAAGCTACTTGAGAACACTCATCCTTTCAAAACTGGATTGGAGTTTAGAAATGGAGAAGAGCAGAGTTGAGCCATAAATCACTTGTGGAATGCTTAATACAGTTCATTTTCAAGATTTTTTAATAATAATTATCATCGTGATCGTATTTTATTATTTTTATCACTCAGCCCATTTATGGCTATGGATCATTGGAGGACATGGCATTTCGAAGCACAGTGGCCAAAGATGGAGAAATTTTCTTTGTTGATGACAAGGAGATTGGTTTGCGAGAAATGGCCATGAATGTTGCAGTTCCCACTGATCCTGGACAGAGAACAGTCAAAGGTAATAACTGTTTACATTTTATTTCAGATTGCATCATTTTAGAATGCATCTTGCCTAGCAAAGCTTTGATGTTCGTGATGGAATACCATTAACAGTAGTTTGACACAATACCACAGTCAACTATTTATTTAGAATGGACACCTTTATATAAAGACCACAGAGCATAGGGGCTGGGTGGGATATAGCCTCACCAATAATTTCACTGCAATTTTTTTTGCATTAATTACAAAAGTATTTCCAGTCTTTTTGTTAAGAGCGAATGCACTTTTTGTTGTTAAATGTGCGTTTTTATGAAGAAAACTAACAGAATGGTGATGGACATTTTACAAAACTTTCTCACGTTTGATGGAAATAAACATGTTTCTGGCGATTTTGAAAACTCTATTTTCAGCTAGCCCCACCAATCCAAAAGATGCTCCATGAATTTTCAATATGTCCCTAAGTGTACACCTACAGTTAATTGGTCCCAGCCTTCATTCCTCTCATTTGATTCTCTATAAGGCAGACTTATGTCCAAGACAGACCACAAGTAAAATTCCCCATGTTTCAACCATAAAAGTTTAACAGTATTTTACTTACTTCACTTCAGTCTCCTGATTGTTGTGATTTTTTAGCTCTCTTGTTTTTGTAAATTTTAAAATTATTTAAAAATAGATAGTGTAAGTTATCATATATTTTTTTGCTTATCTTTCAGCCCATTGGCTATGTATTGAGGGTTCATTGCCTGTTGGAAGTCATGCCCAATTAAATGCTGGTACGTTTTTCAGAAACAGTCCATTGCAAGGTTAAACGGAAAAAATATGATTTTCACAATAGTTACTGAAAAATTAGAAAACAAATGACTAAAAATCAAGATTTAAGTGTGAGCACATACCCTTATTTTGTGTGGTTTTGTTTACAAAAACTGTGTTATTCCGTTCTTCAATTCAACCTTAGGTCGAGGTAGCAGCACTAGTGAAAACGGATCTGTGCGCAGCCCCCTGTCAGAGGTGATAAATTAGTTAATTTACTGCCATTTATTATAAGTAAACTCACCTTTGGATGGTTGTCCACAATTAGATTTAGTATTGTACACTGTGGTAATTAAATCATACCCAACATTCCCTATCATTTTTTCATAATCAAAGATAATCTATTTCCATGCACAGGTTATCATGGTTACCCATAGCCATACCTGTCAATACGAGTAGCAAGTCACTTAACCTGAGAGAGAAATGGCAGGGATCAATGGCAATATTGCATAATTATGGGAATTCCTTGTCACCCTTTTACATAACTATCAGCAAACATGTCTGCCTCCCTGTAAACCAATGCAGAACTGGTGTATCTATTTAAGGTCCATATTAAATTCTTTACTTAATTGTCACATTCAGTTTTCACTACCAGTGTTCTTCCTTATTATTAGCTACTTTGTCTACCTTAAAATTAAGTATTTTTGAACCTTGTGTTTATTTCTTTGCAGGCCTGTTTGAATTATTATGAGCAGATCACAAAGGCTGTCTTAGGTGATGAGGAAGAGTCCTGCAGAGTATGTCTTGTTCATTTCAATAAACTGTTTCTCAGTCTGAAGATTATTGATTGTTAATAGAGACGTAAATCCCCAAACTCACATTCAATAAAAAGCAAACAATAACTTTGAGTTCAACCATAGCTGATAGACACACCTCGTTCATAACATAACAAGTACCACAGTGGGCTACTGCCCAGACATGCTTTCATCTGACTGGCCACACTTTAGGATTTAAGCCCAAAGTTATTACAGGACTCCAACATGCCTTGAAATCCCTTGAGTTCAAAACTCAAAATTCAACTTGCTTTCTTAGTATAAGATTCTGGAATACTGCCAACCTACTCCTCCCCTAATCAAACATTTTTTCCTTAGTAAGAACAAGTCAGTGTCAAAGTGGGCTTAGGGGAGAGGTGGTTGGGAAGATTCAGATGACCGTTTCCAGATTCTCAAGTGACCAATAAGTCTATAAACATGTCTGTACAAAAGTTTCACACAGAAAGGAGATGATTTAAGCACTTCTCAATATTGAGTGGAATTCTTGAATTATTGCAATTGTGTTCTTGAGTAGTCCTTACAAAACGCCTTGATTTACTTTTCTGTTTAAAAGGAGTGAGAACCATTTGGAACCACGTTTATAAATTTTCTGATGATTACTACGTTGTCGGATAGTTGTGTCGGAGCTGACACTTACAGGCGTCTGAGTTGCTGGCTTAGTTCTGGCCTACTCTGTACTATTTTTTCTTCTCTTTTATTCACCAGGTGGCTCTAAGTGATTTGAGGACTAACCCCAAGATTTCATCTTTATTGGCATATTTTGTGAATTTCATCGCATCAGGAGTAAGTAAAAATAATCATCCGGAGTAGAGAAGACTAGTGTGATGCCATGTTACCATGGTAGCAAAATTTCTGGATCTCAACAATCTTTCTTGACAGATACAGCGATTTACGTTGTCAAACCATGGAAGAAAAGTATGTGGGCTACCTTTTTGTTCTTGAGTGCAATAATGCGCAGGAAAGTCATACATGTTAATTTTTTTCATTTTTTTTCTGCCATATTTGCAGACCACGGTTTCTTGAGATCCTCCAGAGATTTTGCTACAATGACAACATGACATAATGACTTTTCCTCTCTATTATTTTGCTGTTGTTACTACGAAAACAAGAATTCTGAAGGAGTTTAGGAATTAGAATCATATTATTCTTTTGTAACGATCAGTACAAAAAGAAAATCAACAGAAAGGTCATTAGAGAAATACTGTTTAATAAACCTGCAGGAGTGCTTTATCAAGTTTAACACATGAGGTGGGAAGTTTCAGAATTTATGAAGCATAAAAACAGATGTAGATCTATTGACCAGTGTTCTCGTTATCAGGCGGTAACCGGTAAAATTTACTGCCTGAAGCAACACTTCTTACCGTCTGCAACTGCTTAAAGGTTTACCGAAATTAAATAATTTTTTTTCCAAAAAATATATACAAGTTGTGATCCGATCCGATCCTCAAAAGAAAATGAATGAATATATGGAAAATTATAGCTACCTATTACAAAACGTACAGCCCAAAAATAATGCATGTACAGGAACTTCTTTTTGCGTCCGCAAGCTGGCAACTTCGTGCGGCTTTTTGCAGGGCGCTTGCGCTTGAATTCAGCAAGACGCAAGAACTTCTTTTGTGGTTATAAATTTAACCACAAGAATTTCTTTGCTGTGGGATTTTCGAACCGCAGGGCAGCAACTTCTTTCAGTGCGGTAAAATTGCCGCAGACAAGTGAAAATTTATTATGACAATAAAATAGCTGTGCCGCTTTCTGTATTTGTCAGCGGATCACTAATCTATGCTTTAGGGACATAGTTTTGAACATTCAATTCCTTCGTTCTTGCTGGTTTACAATGACAGGGATGTATAGATAACAAGTGTAAACAAAACAGATAAACTAAAAATACTTTCACGTGTCATGATCGGTGAATTTTGAAACGGTATATATAAAATTATCTTGTGCAAAGGTAACCTTTTAAGCGAGGAAATCAGAGGAAATGTGTACAATTTTGATTAAAAAAAGCAGCGCTTCAAAAAATAAGGAACGATCGTAGTATGTTGCGGAAAAGAGCCGTGTAATTTGAGACCGCACGTACAACTGTGTCAACTCAAAGCGCTCTTGGAAAATAAAAACATGCTAAAGTAAAGTAAGGAACATTTTCACTAAAGGCTCTTTCAAATTAGCGTAACAAAGTAATAAATAATTCCCATGTTTTCTTGCGGCAGAAATTCAACGCCTTTGGTTTGTTTTGCCGAGACTATGCTATTGTACTATGAAATGATCCAAATGATCGAAATGTTCGAAACTACAGATCGGTTTGTTAAACAAACGCCTCACACGCTTTATCTAACTTTGGAAAAGCTGAACGATTGAAGAGTTCACTTTTCAGGAAAAGCAGAGAAAGCTGTTCGCTTTCTCAGGCAACTTTTTACGTGTGTCCTTGCATGATTACCTTTTGCTGCCACAGAGTGAATTAGTATCAACGCTACAAAACGGTGTTGTAACAAAAAGGCGACAAAGACCATAAACTTCTTTCAGTTTAACACAAGGAGGCTCCTTGCACTAATTATTTAGATTTGGGGTTATATTGGGCTTAAAGATTCACCCTGTTGATATCAGATAGAAAGGAAAGGACATTAATGATCTCAAAGATGAAAATAAGAGTCTTGATTTCAAGACAAATACATATGATTCGAATTATGATAATCAGAATGTCTACATCAGCCGTAATGGTGTAAAAGGAATTTGCTCTTATGGAACATGAATTTCCATTATCTTAAATTGGTTTGTTTACTGTAGTTTGCATACCCATTTGCCCCTCAAAAAGCGCCTTTTTCAGTTCTGATGGCAAAAGTATTTTTCAGGTGAAGTCCTACAGCCATGACTTAACACAGCTGAGCAAGCTACTGAGTATGGTTAGATCACTGATTGAAAACCAGTCCTTGTTTTTGGAACCATATGTAAGCAATTTGATTCTTGTTTTCGTTTTATTTTTAGTTTTCCTGTTATGTTTTTGGCAACTTAATACTGGTAAAAACTTTACCTACCTAGAGTTGTTAACTGCTGCAGCCTACTAAGTTCGTCGGTTTTTCGCTGCTCTCTCTCTCTCTCCCTCTTGCACTTTTTCATCAGATGTGCAAGAACATAAACACTAGTAGATATTGAACAATAGCCTTGCGATAGACTTTTTGAATTTTATTGTCTGTTTAATAAATTAGTGAGTAACTCAGACTTCCTGCGTACTTACTTAAGACTTCCTACAAACTTATTTTTGTTTTTTTCTTCTGACGTACTTTATGGTGGTTTTAGATTTCCTGCATACTATTTAACTGTTGAATGCTTCAAGTACATGTAGTTGATTAGTATAATTAGTATAATAAATGAGTTTTGCCAATTTTATCTATACACTTGCCCAAGCGTGCTCTTTTGATTCATACCGGTACTTGATTTTAGTTACGATTGGTTGCACACGCCTTGTTCATTGTGATTGTAAAAAATAAAAATGTTTGAACTTATGCTTTCCTCGTCTTGCCCTTGAATACTTGGCTTGAAGTGAACGTTTATCGCGTTTATTGTTTAACAAAGGAAATAAAGGAAACATGCTAGCGTTAAAATTAATGCAAAGTTAATATAATGAAGTAGTTCTATAACGTTGCATGATGTAGCGTTATATAGCGAGGAGATTTACGGTCGTGTCGCCTACGATTCGTTTCGCCAACGTCCAGTTCGCTAACGCCTTAAGTCGTTGCGCTAACGTATAACTTGTAGAAGGAGGTATATGTGCATCGCACTCTTTCGTATCATGGCTCAAAGAAAGAGGCAAGCTCGTTCCCAGGTTCTCTCATGGGGACCCTGGGAATGAGGTTGAGAACGAGGGAAACGTGCAGTGCTAGTTTCGTTTCATAAAGAATGACTTAAGACGTTAGTGAGGGCGACGTAAGCGATTCAACGACTCATAGGCGAAACGAGCGGTCACCAGCGGGGTTTTTTTTCTTACAGTTTACAACCTTTCTCTCCGTTTTATACTGTTTGGTGAAATTGTTCTGTTCGTTTTCGTAGGTTATTCAGCTTGTTACAGCTGTCATGTATTGTTTGCTTGAGTCTCTTGCTGCCTCCCTTAATCCACATAATGATCACTGGCGGCTGAGGGACGAGGCAGCCAACATTCTGGTACGCATCAGTAGGTACGGGTTACTTCTTCTCTATTCACTTTGCTACCCGGTCAAATGCTCCTGACTGCTCTCTCGCGCATGCGTAAGGTACTGGTGTGTGCTTCAGTGCTGAATTTATTTGGTCTTGCTACCCCTTACGACGAACTACGATCGTTAAGGAAGCCTTTCAGTTTGTTTTTACAACTTTTATTGATCGTGTATGCCTGATCGTTTTACCCGTCGCAGTTTGACTTGCATGCCTATTTACTGCTATGTTCTACAGTGCTATAGTGTAAGTTAAGATCTTGCTTTCTTGCATTCTCGTTCCCAGAGCCCGTCGTTTCTTTTGGTCACGTGATCCGTTACAAACTAATGCGAGTGTCTCTAGGGACGAGAATGGCTTTCTTGCAATCCAAGTTTTGTTAGTCTAAATTGTGACTTCGGGCGAATCGACCCAATTCCAGGCGAAACAACCTGGATACCCTTTACAACCTGTCACTGAGAGATATTGCCTTTTAACCTAAGAATTTTGGTAATGATCGGTGAAATTAATTTTGATTTACTTACAAGCAATGCTTCACTGTCAGTCGATCCGAGGCAGGTTTTTCACTTCGTCCAGTTAAAAAATAACATAAGCCTCAAATGTGTCGTGGTAAATAATTTTTTTTCAATGACACAGATGGCTAAGGGAGATTTTTCTGAACTTTCTGAAAGTCCATCACTGCGAGTCGTATGTTGTTTTTTCTCCTATTCATTCTCTCTTCCTTCTCTTTTGCCATATATTCAGGACCTACAAATAGTATTAGTTTCCCACCGGGGGGGGGGGGGGGGGGAAAGTGGCTCCTGTTGGGGGGGCTCTTTTTAAACCACTCTTTTTTTTGAGTGAAGGCAGCCCAAAAAGACGTTTGTGGTGCGTATTATAGGCAATGACGACCAATACAGTATTGATGGCGCTAATTCTGCTTGACTGTATTTCATCCGTTTGTTTGTCTACAGGAAGTGCAGTAATCCAGTTAACTACCTAAAACAGCAGCTGTTGATGACGCTTCAAGAAGTGTTGTTAGATGATGGCCGCCCTTTCTGTTCACATTATGGTGCAGTAGTCGGACTGACTGAGTTGGGGCCAGAGGTAAAATCAGACTGTTTACACTCGCAGTTTTGTATTTTCTCTTGTGATTGTCGAGAGTGATCACCAAATTCCAGAGGCCCCATCCATTTTTTATGTGGAGAACGTCGGAAGTCTAAAGAGAGTGCAAATTAACCATTTATAGGGACGGGCTAGACGGGGGTCGGTTGGGGACGACAGAAAACGACCTACCCCCTCCCTAATTTAATTAATTTAATAATTTCCCTTATCATCATGAAATCCCGACATCTGTTAGCCTGTCGAATTCGGCGATTGATCTCGAAAATCACACGGTAAAATAGGGAATTGTAAACATTTAAATAGTGACTATTAAAAGTTGATTATATTTTCCGTTATTGTTAGTCCCTAAAGTAATCTAACGGCATGTTGGTTGTTTGTTCCAGGCACTAGAACAGTTTGTAATGCCTCATCTGCGCACATACTGGAATCAGCTACAGCAAGTTCTAGATGATACTACCCAATCGAACGCTCTTTTGCAAGATGAAGCCTATCAAGTTTACGGAGCCCTTCTTGTAAGAAAACTGACAGCGCTTCTTCATATTATTGGTAGTTACCCAGAATTAGAATTAGATGCGAGCAAATTTAGCTTGGCAGGGATTGTAAAAAAGGAGAAATTATTTAAATTAGGAGTCTGAGCCAACTTAACCTAATTTGATAAAGGTAGTGAAAAACTTTCAGATTTTGCTCATAAATGGTCATGCACCTAAAGTAGTATTTCTCTAGCTGTCATCTTGACATCGAAAGACGTCTAGTACACGCGTCCCTTCTTGAAGAAGATCCGGAAAGAAATCTTTTGTCTTTATCTTAGTGCTGGGTTGTCTTCTGTAATTTTAGTTTTATAATGCAGTTTTATTTGGCATAACCACTGACTTAAAATAACGTGTTCGATATTTTCCCTCTTCAGCAGGCCGCTGGATGCCTTTTGAAATCCAAACAATTTGGTGTGCCCATCTCCTCTCTCGGGACTCAAGTCAACAACTCCCACCCATTCCTGCGCAGCAATCTCTCGCCGTGGGCTGGGACGAGCGTAATTCAGCGCCCAGCTCCCGTTGGCTCTACGCGATCGCGGTCGAGTTCGACCAGTCTTGCATCTAACTCTCTTCAATTGTACCAACAACTCTACGACGTGTTTGGAGATAGTTTAGGCCCCAGAATTGCACATAACAACTGGCAAGACGCCGCTGTAACTAAGAACAATCAGCTGCGGATGCAACCATTTGCCCATGCGTACTTTCCATTACGCCCACTCGCACGTGATGCTAACGTGATCAAAGAAATGATAATCAAAGCGAGAGAGAAGCTACGGCTAGTGAGCCCCCAAACACCGGCGCAAGGAACCAAGAGAAAAAGAACAACCAGCGAGAGCGGATCAGCTCATAAGACTTCTGAGAAACGGGCAGGAACAAAAGCTAAACGCGTTTGCATGACTGTAAGCCCTGCGCGAGCGAGACTTCAACAAGTCCCAATGGAGTTAGACCCTGAAGAACCCAATCCCTCGCGAAGCTCCAAGAGGGGCCGTCACAAGGCTTTTGAAGTGCCAGGGATACAAGCACAAGGAGGCCGGAATCGTTCGAAAAGAGCTATTGTTACCGGACGCATACATAGAAAGTTTAGAAGAGTCAACCCTTCTTTGAATAATACGGCGAAGTATGATTATCATTTAGGTGTAATATTATAGTGCTTCGCTCGCATTTTTTGTTAGATACCATTATTACAGAACAAAGCTAGACTCGACGCTTTTTGCTCAAACATGTAGTGGTACGTATCACTGTCCGAAGAGAAAAGTGGTAACTTTCTTCACCTCGTTGAGAGCGTTAAATATATTTGTCAAACTCATAACTATTTAGTAGGCATGTTGTTCAATAAGATTCCGTCCAAACGCATCCAGATATTTTTGAAAACAGAAATTTTTTCATCCGTCTTAGCCTTCCTTCCACACGTCCACGCCGTTTTCGGGCACCAAAAACGCATTTTTTCGAAAACGGTCCCCAGAGTGGAGTGTTTTTGAAAATGCCGATTTGTGGTTTTGTGTGGACAAAGGAAAGCGTAGATATTCGAATATGATGATGTCATGCATCATACAGCGCATACACTGTCAGGCGTGCAATCGTACGCGTATTTCCATCGTTTTAACGTTTTCGCGTGGACGGGCGAAAACGATTCGAGTACGCTAGATGTGGATGCGTATTTTTTCGAAGGCGGAGAAGAAAAATCTCCGTTTCCAAAAATAACAGGATACATGTAGACGAGGCCTAAATCACGTACTTGGATCTTTTTACCCGGTAAAATTCATCAGTCTGTAAAGGTAACTGAGGGGAAGATTTGAATTCAACCTCAGAGGAAATACGTTTTAGATAATTTTATCTTCTGAACATGACGTTTTATTTAAAACGTTCAGTCTAACTTACATCAGAAAAAGTAAAACAGAGACCCAAAATCTGTAGAAAAATAGTCGGTCTAAACGAATCAAAAAGTCGTTGGCCGGTCAAAACGTGTTGTAGTTTTAAAACACAATTTGAAGTTTTTTAACCACTACCCCCAGTTGTTCGAAAGGTGGATAGCTCTATGGACCTTATAAATCACTATCCAGTGGATAGTGCAATTGGTTTCCCTAATAGTTATCCGCTGGATAGAGATTTATCCGGTGGATAGCGCTATCCAGCTTTTGAACAACTGGCCAGATGCGGTGTCGTCTCTTGCAATGCAGGACAACAAACAATCTTACCTAGCACTGGTTGAGTGACAATTTATCCTTTCCAGTCAGCAATTCCATTGAAAATTTCATCCTCTATCATGTCGAGATTTAGTGACAATCCCCTCGAGCAGTTTCCTCTCTTCTTGTTCAGTTTTTGACGGAGGAAGATTTCCTTTTGAGTAGCGGCATCCTGAAGGCGTGTAGCTGCTGAACTCTGTTGTCCAGTTTAACAATTTATTTGCATAATTATAGTTAACTAGCCTTTGTTCTTTGGTTGTTTTCGTTTTGCGTTTTTTAACAACAAGCTTTTAGAGAAAACAATACACAAACCAATAACAACAGAAATCAGAGAAATGCAACACATCTGGCCCGGGTTGTTCGCACGTGGGATAGCGCTATCCACCGGATAAATCCCTATCCAGAAGTTAAGTATTAGAGCGGTTTTCATTTGAGTGTCGAAAAGTAATTGGTTTTGCACTTTCTACACGATGCGATTGGCTTAAAAGATTCGCGCCACCTTTCATCCAATCAGAAGTAAAACCAAAGCCAATTGTGACGCGCTCGCATGCATTTTCCCGCGCTTTGCGTCAGCCACATGTAATTACTTCGAGTTTTGATTGGTTCAATGTATTGTCTGTGTCCTATGTGATTGGCCAGAGTAATTACTTTGGTTTTGGTTTTACGACACTCAAACGAAAACCACTCTAGTGAAACCAATTGCGCTATCCAGTGGAGAGCGCTATCCAACTTTTGAACAACTAGTGCCTGGGACAAATCTTGAAGCCTTTCAAAACATTCGCAGCACGTGCTTTGTCAAGTCTGAAAATTCTCACACTTCGTGTGCGAATTTTTTTTTAACTTGATGAAACACTACTGTTCGTGTTCATCTGATATTAGGCTCGATTACCAGCCGCTGTTCGGGAAACGAACTCGCGCGGACCCGAGATGGCGGAAATTGAGCCTAATCTGATATCTGATGAAAGAGCTTTAACTGTATTATTCACAAAAATATCCCCATAACTGATCTTGACTGAAACACCACCCGGGTACATACGGGTAACAAACGAATAACACACGAAAACATACGGGCAACATACGAGTAACATACGGATACTTACTCGTATGTTACCCGTATGTACCCGTGTGTTGTTTTAGTCAAGATTATGCAACAATATATCGTTTAGCCAATGGCTACTTGCTTTTTCTGGAAGGAGCAAGTTTCAGTTGCTCCCAAAGACCGTCTGATCTGTTTTCTCCTTCTTCACCTCCACCCCCCTGCGCTTTAATTGCGGGTCAATGGAATCCGCCGCGGTTTTTATTTTCATACGCGCGCTCGACGATCGCTAAAGAGAAAGCAGAGGGTCTATCAACAGGATACAAGCTAAAAAGTCTTATTAGCAGTGAATTTCATTTGCATATAATGAATTTTTTAAATCTTTTTCACGCAGAATAAGGTGATTTCTTGTGATATACGACATACATCTATGCGGGCCATATAATCTGCTCTTTTTATGTTTAATCAAATTTAAACCTCGTGTTTTGAACGAAACATGCAAACAAATACAATTGAACCTCTCGTAAGCGGATGCCAAAATGCGAAGAGTTTATAGTGGTTGCTTAACGGGAGGTGATCGCTTGAAAGAATCGGTCTACAGGACGTCGCTTCCAAAAAGAGATCCAAAAACGTCCACTTTTCAGAATGAATTAGAGCGATTTCTAAGTTAAGATATCAGTGTAGTTCCATGAAGGTTCGCACAAGAGATTAAAGTAAAAACAAAGGAAAAAATTAAAAAAAGAAAAAAGTGGGCGCAGTCTCTTACGAGAGGTTTTAACTATAGGGTTATTACTGGGAAACTTTTGTGCTTTGAACACTTGGATAAATGGTCGAAGTCGCTTGCGAAAGATGGTTGTACATGGAGGTTCGATTGTACTCAGATTTCCCCACACAAAAATAAACGAGTTTTCACGTAAAAGGTGTCATTCCTGAAAAACATTCGTACAAGGAAAATTAAAACTCCATTCTTCACATCACTTACACCCCGCGAGCAGGGCCTCCCCAGTTTGTCTTCTTGATCGAGTGAGGAGGAGAAAAGGAGGCTCTCCCTGAATCGCGTCGTCAAACCTTTGAAATCGCCGCAGCCCAACTTCTGGACTAGCCAATCTTGTCTTCTCGCGTCAGACCACAGTTTTTTCGAGTGCGAGCATCCCGTTTATTGATAAATCGACGATCATAACTGAGCCCGCTGTACCAAGTGTACGGCTCTTAGACCTGGTGTTGAAAGCGCTGCTTAACAGAGATTTTATCCGAGTGCGCCAAAATCAAGCAAGCAGGCAGGATGTCACACTTATAGCCAATAAAATGTTTTACACCTAATTCGCGTAAAGCTGATAAAAAATCACCTACTTCGATTTCGAGTTTCGACCACTCCTATTAAATGAAAAGGAAGAGAAAAAGCTTTCAACTTGACCATTTAGCGAAGAAACTATTTAACCTTGTGTGCCTATAGCTTTCAGTGCTTCAACAAGAACAGCGAGAGAAGTTTAACCTTTCTTGAGTTTTCCTCTCAAGACTTTTCGCTATAATTACCTTTCCCCCTACCCCTGGCTTGTCACTGGAATTACGCAGTAAATTTTATATTTTAGTCAAGCATAAACAAATCGAAAAGGAAGCGATATTCTCATGGCACGAAAAAATTCCTCGTACATTTGGCAGTTCAACACGCGCGAAATACGAAATTCAATTTTTACTTGGATAGTGTAACCGGGTTACCTAGCAACGAGATACGCTATTTTAAGCCCTAAAACTTTCAGATTGCAGCACGTGTGGATCATCAATACTGCTTATAAGGGCCATTTATATGAGGAAAAATAAGACGCGAACTTTTCGTATAAACGGCACATTTCGTCTAAAATGAGACGCGACTTAGCTAAGACGCGTCTTATTTTAGAACAGCCCTCAACACCTGTTCTTAGATAAGACGCGTCTTAGTTAAGACGAGAAAAACTTCGTATAAATGACCTTCGCGTCTTATGTCTTGATTTCCACTGTGACGTACTTTTTACGTGCGCACGGGCGTAAAATTTACGTTTGCAAATAAAATAGAGGCAGTGTATGTAAGGTCGCACGAAAATGTAAAAGTTAAACCTCGCTCAACTTCACATTTAATCTCAACACTTTACATCTTGCCTCTTTTTTGTTTACGTGATTAAAAATTACGTGCGTTAAAGTGCGTAGCCAAAAACGCGTCAGTGGAAATCAACCTTAAGACGCGAACGCATAGTACGCATGCGTTAAGTTTTGGCACGCCATGTTGGATTACCGTTGCTACGGGCAACACTCACATGAATACGAGTCAAAAACAGAAATAAGACGCGAACCATTTATACGAGCTGTATTCGTCTTAGATAAGACATGCTCGCATCTTATTCAAGACGCGTCTTATTTTTCCTCGTATAAATGGCCCTATAATTAGTTCACATAGGAAGAATCTCCGGTAGACCGCCCTGTTAAAAAGCTTTGAGATCGCTATTTAAAGAAGAAGCATTATTCTAGATCTTTTTAACTTTAAGTTTTATTGCTTTTTATGGATTAGAAGTCTGTGTGAAACAGTCTCGAGCGCTTTACGCCCTGCTTTCCTGTCATTTGAGGGCTGCCCATGGCACAACTCGGTTATTTGCACCACCCATACCCAGACAATTACCATTTTTCTAAAACACTTTGGTCTTTGGAACTCTAAACATGTTCCAGATTTACAAATGATTGATCGTTGCTGTAGTCACTGATTTAATATTTAGATGTATGATTTTGAAATAGACGCTGACCTCGAATAAACGCCCCATCGGATACGCTTAGAATGAGCAATTCTCTTTTGCTACGAAGAATCGGAAGAATGTAACTAGTAATAGTTGACACTACAGCTGTCCCCGCTCTGTATATTGTCGGTCAATAGCATTCTTGGTCGTATTCCATACAACAGATGAGATAAAAACAGGAAACGCAAGGTTCCATGCACAGTTTCAGTTCGATTTACACAGCTTTGATCAAAATATTCTCACTTTCGAGATTTAATTAGAAGTTGAATTTTTCGCTAATTCTCTTTCACTTTTTACATACGGTTCATTTTATTTGCCGGAAAGTAAGCCTTAGAAATTGAAAGGACGTTTGATCAAATCACGCTCGCACATTCTAGTCTTATTTTAAACTTTATAGCGCAAGGACATCTGTGGGCAGGGAATAGGTCAGCACAGATGTGATTGTCGGCGAATTTCTGTAAGCGTCCACGTTCTGCTAGTGATAAGCTTGCCGTTGATTCACTTGTATTGCTTGTTTGGGGCTGAGTCTTATTCCGGTCAAAGAGAGAGAAAGAGTATCTTTCCAATCAAAGATTTGTGAACCCGTGTCTTGCAGACTTTCCAAGTGTCTATATATTTAACAATTAATGAATAAGGCTGAGTATCTTATGAACAATTATGGAGATCGAGGAGGGTGTTATTTCCTGTTTTAAGCTATTATTTCGCCTAGTTCTTACTCTTGAAACGAGTGAAATTTCCGCTATTTTTGTTTTCACAACGAAAACAACTCAACCTCGTCCCCTGGTCTTCTCGGTTAAAGGTGCATTAACCTGCAAGGAAGCTGCACTTTTGACGTCATTGGTAGATTAAACGCAAAATTCTTCCAAATTTGGTCATCAATAGCTGGTTATGGTGAATTATGCGAGTGCTTTTAGCCAATCAGAACCGGGGAAATATTTTAAATGAATAATAAACACAGTTATACGCACCTTATAACTTCATCTGCGCTAAACGAGTGTCTTTTGGTCCATAACTTTCAAACCAACTGCTCTACAGAATGTCACTGATAACACGTAACGCAAAAGAGTATCGAAGTATGACTGTACAATAAATGTCACAAAATGTACCTAAGCGGTCCCTACGGGATTTTCTGTCTTTACGTCATCGTAACCATCTCGAGATTTTTTCTGGCATACTGACTGTATAATTATTTTAACTGTAAGTACTTCTTTAATATACGCGCGAGTTATCAGAGTGCCTCCTCGGGATTTCGCTTTCTGGGCCCTGCCCTTGAGAAAGCCCGGGAAATCTTGTCAGCGGAAAGCTCCTCCGATTATGCGCATTTTTTTCACATTTTGCATTTTCGCGGGTTTTCGCGCCGTTGATGCTCGTAGATCTTCTGGAAGGCTGACAGAAACCCTTTTTTTTTCTTTCCTGTTGTCTTGTTGACATTTGGACTGATATCATAATCAACATCATGATGAATGATATATCGTGGGGACCAATTAAGGAAGCTGACGTGCAACAGTTTTGCGTGGAAATGATGAAACGGCTCGATGTTCAACGAAGGAACGATCATTTCTGTGATGTAATCTTAGAAGTTGGCTGTGGTGACGATCAAGCTCGCTTGAAAGCGCACAGAATCGTTTTATGTGCAGCAAGTCCGTTCTTCTACAATGCTCTTAACAGCGAAATGAAAGAAAAGAAAGAAGGAGTCATCAGATTAGAAAACACAAGCAAAGCTGTGATGGAGGAATTGTTAGATTATCTGTACACAGGATATGTTGACGTCACGCAACACAACGCGTTCGATCTTCTAGAGGTAGCCGATTTTTTGGTCATTCCATGTCTGAAAGAGACTTCAACTAACTTTATCGCACGGACATTGTCTTCTTCAAACTGTATTTTGGCATATTATTCGGCTGCTAAGTATCAGTGCAGAGAATTGCAAAAAGAAGCGAGAGATTTTATCTGTACACACTTTACGAGTGTAGTTGAGCAGGAAGATTTTTTGAACTTAAGCAAGGAAGAGCTGGAAGAGTGGATTTCAAGTGATGAAATAAGAGTAAGGGGGTAGAAGACGTTTTCCAGGCTATTGTCAAGTGGTGTGAAGAAAAAGAGTGCCGCCAACGTGAAATATTTTTCGAATTATTTCGTAACGTTCGTCTGATGTACCAGCTGTCACGCAACTATGTTTTCAAGGAAATCTTACCTCATCCTTTGGTGAAAAATGATGAAAGATGCACGTCAGTGGTCTTAGATGCAATGGAAGATGTTTCATCTGGCTCTGAAGACTGCTATTTTGCCGAAGCACCAAGAAACTGTCTGAGGATAGCTGAAGATTGTCTTGTCATCTCTAGCAGTGAAAGCACAATCCCTTTACCTTCCCACAGAAGGCAAGTTATTTAAGCTCGCAGACCAGTCCAGTCATAACTTTTCATATACCATGTGTGCTTCTTATGGCAAACTTTATTTCAACAATGCTTTTCAACAGTCAGTTGAGAGATATGATCCAGTGGTGAACTCTTAGGTATCTGTCACACCATTAAGTGGTGGTTCAGTGCCACTCCGTAGTGTAGCTGTAGTTAATTTCCAAGGGTTTTTGTATGTGATTGGTGGGAGAATAGGAGATGAGCAAGTAAACTGTGTGCATAGGTACAATCCTGACACAAACCTATGGCAGGAAGCTACACCCATGAACATTTCCAGATCTTCACTGTCTGTTGCAAATGACAAGGACACTATGTATGCAATTGGAGGCCAGACAAAAGATCAATTACTGGATGTTGCTGAAAGATTTGACCCCAAAACAAACTCATGGCGCAGAGTGGCTTCAATTCTTGAAAAGAAAAGATACCCTCATGCTGCTATTTTAAAGGGTAAAGTGTTCCTATTTGGAGGCTGTACCAGCCTTCGAGCCTTAAATGTAACTTCCAGGAAGATTGAAATGTATGACCCAATTACAAACATCTGGACAGCCATTCAGAGGACATCTGCACCAAAGCGCTTTTTAGGTGCCACAAGTTTTAAGGGAGCCGTTTATGTTACAGGTTTGTGGAACCAAGAAAGTTCCAATGTTTATTGCTTGAGGGTGTATGATGTTGACAAGAATGAGTGGACGCATTCCTCTTAACTCTCCTCGAGCTGTTCTGGCTCCTCTCAGAATTTCAAGAGGAATTTCAAACAGTTGTAAAGTTTTAATTTAAAGCACAGGTTGGGTAATGTTTTGAAACATGTACACTGCTGTAAACCACAAATTGATTAACCTGGCAAAATGCTCATTAATTTTTTTAGGAGAACTTCCTTTAATTGAGCTGTAATTCATTAATGCAGCCCACAGCCACATCTTAAGATCCCAATCTGGGTTTCCTCTAAAAAATTTAGCTTGTTAATACAGTCAATGAGAGCCAAAAAAAAAATGTGCATTTGAAATGACAAACAAGTGGCAAAGGAAAATTGATATATTTCTGACAGTGGCTGCAGTAAAAACCTGTGAGCAAGAACCTGCATCTTCCTTAGTTAGCCTTAACAGATTCTTACATAAATGTTAATTAGCACAAATTTAGGCTACTCAGGTTCTTTTACAAATTGGGTTCTTATTTTCTTAACAAAAAAAACATTGGAGCTAAAAGTAATTAGTGGTATTCGGCTTAATCCTTATATCAATTAGTGAAGTCTAAGCACATTTGTCTCCAAAGAGTATCCTGAATGTTAATTAATTTCATTTGCCCAGGTGTGCAGAATTTTATTTTTAGATTTTAGATAATAGGAACCAGTTTCAAATTTTTAGGCTAAACAGGTTCTTGTATAGAGGAGGCCTAACTGGTAAAGTTTAGCCTAACAGGTTCTTAAAAACCAGGTTCTAACTTGTAGGTTTTCACCGAAGTCACTTACAGATTTTGCAATGTAACAGCCTGTGTGGTAGTCATTTAAGATGTTAAATTTTGACAGTGATGAGAAAAGGAACCAGTTGAGAAAAGGATATCACCATACCCTGCTAAAAGACCTTTCCACAGTTTTTTTCCACTTTTGACGTGGACAAGTTATAGGTAAAATCCATGGACTCCAAAGGAAAGAGCGCCTTTAAATTAGAAAACTGCCAAGCTTGAAAGTGATTTGTTGAAAACTAGCCAAAATATAGCTACATCTACATCTACATCTACATTTATTGATTGACAACGCTTTTGCAGCTCTTCATAGTCGCGAAAATTTACAGACATGCATGGTGCCTCTTCCATACAAATGTCTATAAAATTTCACTACATTGCAGAGCTATATATGTACATTAATCCTTTGGCGTTGGCATGTAGTTTGTTCAACGATGAATAAGCATCATTGCGAGGCCGCTAAGGCGTTCTTCTCAGTGTACGACGCAGAGCAGAGAGGGATGGCTTTCACAAGAAACACTACCAACTGGTGTGCCATTACAGGCACTCTCTGTAAATTAAAGTGAACAGTGCAAATAGGTTATAGATGAATGAGCTACAAATTGTAGTAGCTGAGCAGTGGTAACCACAGTCTTTTTAAGAGCGACCGTCAGGAAAAATTGAGCAAAATAATTTTTAAAAATCGCCAAAAGCACTTTTATTTTAGAGAAAATATATAACAAGAAATTCAAATTCTCTCTTCGGAGTGTAAATTGCAGATTACTTTTGGGACGGATCGCTCAATATTGAAGGACGTATGCCCGGGGGAAGCTCGAATAAAAAAGTGACGTACACGCTCAGCATGGGTCAGGAGACCATGATAGACTATTATCAGACCTTTAATGATTATTATTGGCCGGGATGTCATGTGCTTTTTTAAAAAAATAATTGCATTTTAATTTGTATAGGTAATAACGGACACGAAAAACATGACTACAACAACAAATTTTGACAGCGCGGGCGCTTTTAGTTCATTCAACTGATTGGCTGAAACAGACTACCACCTCTGTCAAATTCAAACTTTTTCAAGACCAACGCTTTCAAAATCATTCAGCTAAGAACTTGGAAATGTGCAAGGATTGATTTCACACTAGCCTGTTAAAGATAACTCGGTTTACAATAATGAGCAAAAGTAAGGGTTTATAGAATCATCCTCGATTATAAAAGCGTTTACAAAAGATTCCCGCTTTTAAAGATTCCCCGTTTTAAAGATTCCCCATTTTAAAGATTTCCTCATTTTAAAGATACCCCGTTCCCCATTCCACCGCTACTTTCGAAGGGTCATTATCTTATTGGGGACGCTACTTTTTGGGATTTGCACGCAGCGCCGTAGCTAGTATGAGGCCAACCGAGGCACTCGCCTCGGTAAAATTTTGACGAATTTCGCCGATCATTTTTATTTTACATAAGCGATCATCGGATATTTTTAACGCATCATGATATTACAAAGAATTCAGCAATTCAGTCAATATACTATGAAAAAATTACCATATCATCGATCTCAAGGGGCTACGTACGTTAACTCAAATTTTTTTTG